GCCCTTCCTCAGGAAGCACCGCTGCCCCGCCAGAGCCCGGCACCGGCTTTCCCCAGTCTCGCAGGCCCCGTCAGCGCCGACCCGGCCGCACTTGAGGCAGGTCAGGGCTGCGGAGGCAGAGGCAGCAGGTGAGGCTCCCCAAGCTCCACTGGGCCAGCGCTGCCCACCCCACCCCAGGACAGACAGAACTTTGCTGTTCTGGGAGGCCCAGGCTGAGACTGCCCTCTCTGCACAGAACCCTCCCTGTCCACTCGGCTCCCACTCCCCCAGGGCTCTTTGCGAGGAGCTCCAGGTGAAAGGGAGGAGGCAGGAAGGGCCTGGGCTGGAGGGAGCGGCTGTCCTTGCCCCCACCTTGCAGCAAGCCCAGCTGTGCCCACAGCCCCAGCAGCAGCAGGTGCACACCTCCGATGCCCATCTCGGCCCAGGACGGGGCAGTGGAGGGCGGGACCGAGCTGTGAGGACCCCAGCTGGAGGCCAGCAAGGACAGACTGAGCCCAGGGCTGGGAGGAGCTGAGGATGGGTCAGACCTCATCACCTCCCCTGGCCCTGCCCACCTGCACTGCTCGCTCCACCCCTCCCCACGAGCTGTGCTTCCCTGGGCCCGTCCATCAGTTCCCTGGTTCAAAGGCGGGCCCGTCTGCCTTAGTGGCCAGAAGGCTGTGAGGTCCAGGTACACAGACGTCCCGAAACCAGGCCACATGAGACCCAGGGACAACAGTGTGCTGGGCCTCACAGAGCGACACTTGGGCCAGCAGGTGTGGAGGTTAAGGCACTGGGTCCCACATGGCCGACTATGGTTGGAGCTCTAGACCCGGCAGTTGAAAACCACCCAGGCACTGGTGTGTGCGCCCAGAACCCCGACAGAGTGGCTGGAGTGCCGGCTCTCAGAGCCGATTTCTTGCTCTCCCTGTCGCTGTGTCTCTGGTGAGCTCACGTGCCCTATAGCAAACTGAGAAAAAATCTGAACCTTGGGAAAATCTATCTTTTCCTGAGTCTCACAGAAACCTCCTTCGCGTGAGGTGGAGCCTGACCCTGGACTAGTGGCCGTTAGCGTGACAGTAACCTTGCTAAGTCCTGACAGATGCCACCAGCCCCGCCCCCCACACCTGACCAGCTGAGAAAGCGGCCAGCCGTCTGTAAGACCTTTGCAGAGACTGGAAACTGGTCTTTCTGCCTTGTCCTGTGCGCTCTGACAGAGCTGCCCCTAGGCAGGTGACAGCCAGCCCTGAGGCTTCCAGTGTCCTGTGACCCCGCGGAAGCTGTGCGTCTTGTCCAGCTGGCCAGGACCGGTGTGGACTCGGGGCAGCGTCTCTCCCCCCCACCCTCACTGATGTGCCCTTCGAGCTTGTCTTGGCGGGGCGGGTGGCATGGACTTGGTTGGGCTCCCCCAAACCAGCATCCACGCTGCTCAGGATCGAGCCGTGTCCTGCAGACGCACAAAGCCCACATGCACATAGATAAGCTGCCATCCCACCGTGCAGGCCTGGTCATCCCCTAGCAGAGGCAGCCTGTCACTCGTCTGTGCACCTGGCCAACAGGGCCACCAGCACTGATCACCCCGATGTCCCGTACAGTTGGCCTCAGCCCTACGCAGCCCTGCAACGAGACCTCGAGCAAGGGGTGCCCTGCTCTCTGCATCCACTTTCCCAGCTTAGAACTGGGGACCCTCTGAGACAGAGGCCTCGCTGTCACCCTCCCCCTGGCCCTGAGACAGTGACCAGTATCGACAGCGGGTGGGGGCCGGGGCTGTGGCACACAGCGCTCACTTGGCAGCTGTCCATGTGTCCGCTGAGCTGAGAACACAATCTGGACGAGGTGACAGAGTTGGCAGGACAAGCCGGGTCTGCAGACTCCATAGCTCATCCCTCTGCCAGTGGGACTAAGTCTTGAGGGGTCCCAGGGGCCTCCAAAATAGAGTCCAGGGCCAGGGGACACAGTCCCCATGCCCCAGCCAGGGCCGCTCTCAGCTGCCCTCCCTGAGCACAGGGGACCAAGCACCTCGGGTCCTCCCGCTGGCCCTGAGTGGCCCCAGAGAGCTGTCCCGCCATCCTCCCCTGAGCGTGCCATGAGCACACTCTGGTGGCCTCCTGAGACAGAGTGTGAGGGCCTGGGCTGGTCTCGCCGCCGTCAGGCAGAAGCCAGGAGGGGGACGGCTGGAGCGTCCAGGACAGGCCTCTGTGGGCCAGAACCCAGGCTGCAGGACAGGTTCTCAGACGAAGGAGGATGCAGCCACCTGGTGTCCCAACCATCGGACTGAGTTGCTGCCCTCTGGGGCACGCCCCAGAACGCTGGCTGGTGGCTTGGAAGCACGGC